TCGCCCTGCGTTTCTGGCGAGCGGCGCTCCGCTTCTGCTTGCAAAGCGAAGGCAGGCTTGCCTTTTCTTTTTTTTTCTCCCCCAAAAAATTTCTTTTTTTTTTCTTCCCCCAAAACGAGGTTAATGCCTTGTGATTTAGACGCAATGGACAGACTTGAAAGGAAAAAGGAAAAAAAATATGTATTTTAAAGTCAATATTTACTTAGCAATTGAAACGGCCCCTCCCCCTCGGACCGAAATAGGTTGCGAACAGCGCATACCTGCGGCTTTCCCGGAGGGCAGTAGCTGTGAGCGCTAACAGCAACGTCATTCATGAAAATAGAAGCTGCGATGGAGCAGCGGGTCTGGTTTGAATCTTCCAGTACCAGGGATCCAGATGGAAGAATTGCAAAAATGCATTTGAACTGTTTGGAAATCTCGTATTTAAATGCAAAACAAACTCCCTTTCCCCCCCCCCCAACACGCACATGTTATAAAAATGTGACTATGAAATTTAGGTTTCGTTATCTTAAATGTCTCCGTTAGCCCGTGTAGGTGCCCGGAAGCCGAGGAACCTGGCAAACGTGCGCCGGGGTGGGCTTGCGCGTCCTGCACGCCGGGTGCCGAGACCCTCACGCGGCTGCAGAGATGTCTCGGCCGCTGCAGGCAGCTCTCGTGGGTTTTATCGTGAGCCTTATGGCTTCTGAAGCAAGCTGGATTCGGGTGACCGTAACAACAAGTGTAGGTGTGTGCGTGCCTTGGTGCTTTCTCTTGAAAGTATTATTGGAAGAGTCCTGAAAGCAGAAAACGAATGCATCGCCGCTCTTTTCCCCCCCTGAAGTTCAGGGATGCTGGATGGACGGTATAGGGGAGAAGGCAGAGAAGAAGATACTGCTGTTATAACTATTAGAAAATAAAAGGTGACTGATATTTTTTGGGCTCGTTGGAGAACTTGGCAGATCTTTCAGTTGGGCAGTGGTGGGACTGGATGCCGGGACTTCGGAGGGACCATGCAGGCCGGCGCAGTTGTCGCCGTTTGGGCGAAGCGGCCCTTGAGTCGCGGCGCTCTGCGGCCCAGCGCCGTCCCGCGCCCGGGGAGCCG